AACTGAATCCTTATCTTGATGAGCGAATTAGGTCAAAGAAGAAAGCAACAGGGGAATACTCATGCTTGGCCAGAGGGACCACTCTGCTACATATATTCTGATGGTTTTCATGACATTATTTGTCCCATTGTCGGATGTTCTTTAGAAGGAAAGAAGGGTCACAAAACTTAATTACAAAATACAGTCGCAAAAGCTGCGTATAAAAGCCAGCTGAGACAGGAGGCAGAAACTCTGCCTTTGTATACGCTTTATGTATACGTGTATCCTCACATTCCAAGGCTCTCCTGCCTTTTTCAGTTTCACAGAAATTGATCATGATGATCAATGGATTTTTATATTTCATTTTTGTTTTGAGGCCGTGTACAAAAACAACTTTTTCACTATAAAAGTTGAACAATGGTTGAAAACATTTTTTTATGAAAAAAAGTTTTCGAAACATGTGAACCTAACCAATCTCTCATTGGTTTGTGAGTTTGTGATTCAGCTCGTGAGAGTAACACTATGCATGTCATTCTCAGGATGGTGCACCAAGCAAGCTCAAGACTAATGCAGATTTTTACATATCCTTTCTCACGATCTAATTAACATAAAACCAATTTTAGTGGCAGGGAAGAAAAGTCCAACCATCTCATTACAACTTTGAATGATATAATAAAATTGCAGACTTATATTTAAAGGGAATAGCAAGCCCTAGAAGGTACATGTATATCTTATATTGGAAAAAGAGAAAAACAAATATAGGAGGAGTGCAAAATCTTATATTTTAATATGAATGTAGAACTAAATGCATGCACTCCACTAAGGTCAAAAGGGGTAGGCTAGCTATTGAGATTGGGTTCTTTCCAACCAAGCTTGGCCACACAAACCTTTCTCATGACCCAACTTCCCCTTCAATTTTGCAATGATGGTGCTAAGAATCCCCCCTTTCTTTCTTCTTTTTCACTCCAAGCAATGATGACTTTGGACAAGAACAACAACCTTTCTTCCTCTTTTGCACAATCAGAACTCATGTATATCATACCCCATTGTTAGAAGATTCCATCACTAAAGATAAATCTAAGCATAAAGAATACAAAAACCCAGCTCAGTTCTGCTGGCAGAGATATGATTATGATTTTGGTTTTTTTTTTTTAAACCATTTTTTGATCTCAAAAGGATCAAGATATCAATTATGGTCCTTGGAGACCATGCAAAAAAGCTTTCTTCTATTCAAAAAAGTTTCTTTTCTTTTTTTGTGAGAAATTTGTCCTTTGATTCAATGGGGGTGAGGAGGTTTTGATGAATTATTTCTCCTTTGAACTCTACTTCTCCCCTCCATATGTTTCTTTGTTTTAAGACAGATGGGATTTTGTTTTCGAATTTTAATGTAATGACAATAATTGGATACACGTGCATCCCAAATTTTCAATCCTAACCTCACAACACAATCCATGGAGTTTGATTTGGAGAGAAAGTGGGAGGATTCTGTTGTTTTGACTGAGATTTTTTAATTGGAAAAATAGGTTAATGCTAAGTACTGCATATGTTTGAACTTTTAAATTAAAGTTTTCAAAGTTAATATAAATATTAATTTGGTCAAACTTTTTTCATTTACTATCTGCCAGACCAGTTGAAAATCCTACAAATTCGTAGTTAGAATTTGAAAAGAAATGTGAGTTTGAAATCTACATTCGATCCAAGTATCAAGTAGTTCCTCAAAGTAAATGGGTTTTTGTTTTGTCTCAAACTTTATCCCACACTCCTTACTGTTTCCCATCCCATAGATTGTAGTGCAGGGTCAACCATCAAAATCTGTCAAAATCCTTCAAAAAAAAAAAATAGAAAAGAAAAGAAAAGAAAAGAAAAAACCACCTAAAAAGGGCTTCCAAGAAGTCGGTTCATTTTCCACTTATGCCTGTTCCCACTTCATTCATTCTCTAATGAAGCCTTTTGATGCATTAGGGTTACCTTTCTAATTTCTCTGTTCTTTTTAATTTTATAGTTTGTAACAATTTTATGTATTATTAAGTATGTCTTTGATTTTATCTAAAACAAATCATTCAAGTCAAAATTAAAGTATTTGCAAAAATTAAATCCTATTGTTTATAGAATTAGCTATGTTTCAATATGGGGACATGGTTCTTGGTATGCAAACAATCAAATCCTAGACCAAGAAACAAGTACAAGTTTAATTTTTTCAATGAATATGTCCTAAGTTATAGAAGGACAATTAGGGTATCGAAGCTTTCACTGCAACAAGTGAAAAAAATGGTGCAATATCAAAAGAAATGACATGGGAATATTCTGATATTATATATGAAGCAAGTTTTGATTGATTTTTAAGAGAGATGGAGATAGCCATTGGTTGAAGATGAGTGTGGCATTATCTGAACTCGTTATCAGAAATAGAGATGATTGATAAGGACCAGAGAGTTAGAGAGAGAAGAGAAGAAAATACAAAATGCTAGTGGGATTATGTCCTCCTCTTTTTTCTTTTTCTTTTTTCAGACTTCTAATATTAATAGGTTTATTCTTCATGAAAAGATCAAAAGAATGAAGATTGGAAGGATATGGGACATTTTTGATTCATCATCATCAAAATATGTGAGTAGTGGAAGTCTTTTACCTACATTAAATCAAATGGCAAATGGTCCAAAATGCATAAAATGTGGAGGGTGGCATTTCCTGTCCTCCAAATCCACAGCACAGACAAAAGACTGATAAAGACTAAACACCCATGCTCAAACTCAAAGTTTAAATAAAGCAGTGAATCAAATTGAAATTAGACACATAATTATGATGGTGGGGTGGGCACTTCCATCTTCTTTTATCTGATTTCACAATCCAAGAACCGTTTTGTTATCTTCTGTTGTAGACTTTACTGGTATACTTGCCATTTAAGGCATGACAGTTTAGGAACAATGTGATATGGAAATGACATAGAATATGCTTTGATTAGTGCATTATCGTAATTGTGAGTGTATGTCTCAACGATTAAGATAGCTTGAGGGTGTCTATTTGATGCAAAAAACAAAACCGAAATATGTGTCATCTGAAAAACAGGGGGAAAATGAGAAGGCAAATGGGTATACATGGAATGAAATGACCTCTTATGATTTGAAGGAGCAAACAGAATGCCATAATTGAAGTTTTAATATCAAAAGATGGGCAGTGGGGGAGAAATAAACTTAAAGCCCAGAGGATAGCGATCCATCAGTAGTAAAGCATAAAGCAAAAGACAAAAAATGGGGTAACCAAAATATAGGCCCCAGACACCATTTCTAATTTGTTGCAGCATCTTATAACAGTATCATGTCACTTATTATAGGTTTCCCCACGGTTAAAAAAAAAGAACTAATGGTAGACAAGGATTCATCTAATATACTGTTCTCTACCCTAATTACTGCCAACTTTTCATACAAAAGACCAGTTGATGAACATGAAACAGATGCAGTGAGCATCTTCTTCATCATTTAATACCTTCCAAGCCACTGCTCTCTCGTAGGAGACTGGCCTTCCCATGCTGGACAAGCAGATACCACCTTGAAGGCACATGAAACCCTGCCCCCAAAAGAAGGAAGATCAGTTAATTTTACAAGAAAAGGCAATTTTTACCAGTTCAAGTTGAATTAAAGATGATTTATCATTGTTTACTTCAAAGCCAAGTCATTTACTCCCCCCTATCTGATTCATTTTTACCTAATTGGGAATATACACAACAAATAAATGCCTCTCAACCATGAAGATCTGATATATACTACTTTTCTTTGTTTATCTGTACTTTTTATTTTATTTATTTATTTTAGGTTGTTCATTTAATAGTGTGATACCTGCTGCATTACTTGTGGGAACTCTGAGAATAGAGCCTTTCCACCATTATCATCAAATATTTTTTCCAGAGTGATGTCCTGAAGTGCAAGCAAGGTTGTCTCTAGCATGTCAAGTCCTGCCTGATTTCCGAATGTAAAAACTGGCAGTGCCTGCATAAATTATCTAATACGTGTTAAGTATATATAGAGGAAGAGTTTTCAGAATTTTAAATAATCCTTTGTATGATTTGGTTTTCAAGCTGACACAACTATTAATCAGGTGATAACATTTCTAAGTAGGTTTTTTTTTTTTTTTTTTCACAAGTACCCATGACATGCAATTAAGGTCTACGGGTGTTTTAGTGGGTAAGGGGATAGCAAATATTTAACAAGAGGGAAAATGCATAGAACAATACATGCAAGTGGGGAAAATACCTTCAAAGAGCAACACAAAATTGCATCAGAGTGAAGCCAAAGATTTTTGAGAACCAATTCATTTGCTTCAATTTTGAGTAATTCTGCACCCAGATAGCACCTGTAAAGAGGAAATGCAGGTTGAATATAGTGGTTAGTTTTAGCCTAATTTATATTAGTTTAAAAACAAAAATCAATAGGCTATGAGTTAATTATTTCCTCATGAACTTGCACCCTTACTACTAGATGAAATATTTGGAATAAGCCATGTTGCAAATCACATGGCTTATCAATAATTTATCATAAAGCCCAGAATGCCATGTTAATAGCATGAGAACTCTAGAACTCCTTGTAATGGTATGCACATGCACGAAGGAACATTCAGAAGGCAAACCTATAGCTCTGACAAATCCAACGAGCGAGTGTCTGTGCTTCAGGAGTGCCAGGTGGTGATCGAAAACCAGAATGAGAACCAAAACGGGAAGGTGAGAGTGCCAATGCCACCCTTTGCACAGAGGCAATAATACTACGAACATATTGTCGAGCCATGGTTGCCACATTTTCTTGAAGTTGGATATCATAAACAAATTGGAATGCTATTGTCATGACAGATTTTGTGCTCCCACAACGGCCAGAATAATCACCAGCTGCTCTGTTTCCAGCAGCTCCAACTTCAAGAGTAGATGCAAGGTCAAGAGTGCGATTTGGACTAGAGGCATCCTGCATTAGAATTAAACTAAAACAGCTAAGGAACTTACAACCAAAAATTCAAAAAGAAAAGAGTTAACAAGAATTAGGAAACAGAACCTAGTTTAGATTTAAACTTAATATTATGAAAAATGAAAACTAACCATTCCAGAATCAAGGGGAATAATGCGGAAACCCGAAGGAATAATAGGTGCATCATCAGAGAATGAGGCATCAATAGGAGCAAAGATGAGCTCAGCACATGTGCCAACTGCATTCTCGTCCATTCCACTACAAAGCTGAGAGATTTATAGAACCAAGAAAATTAAAATCAATTATAAATATGAATCCCAAGTGATCAGTAGCCCAAGTACCTAAAACACGGATAAAAACATTTAATAAAAGGACGATGATTGGCTTGTTACCTGCAAGAGGAAGATATCGCCAGGTATGATCATGTCCTCCCTATAGTGGCCCATGTTTTCAAGCTTAATGACCTCCATAGACTATATCAAACAGGTAAAATAGCAAACTTAGAGGATACTTTTTCAAAATTGATGCCAAAGGCAACGCTAGCAAAAATCAGCTATGAACTTACTAACCTCTTCATGCTCAATTGTATGAGCCAGTGGAAGAATAACCTGGCCCCCAAAACTTCCAGCTCGAGAGATTGGTAAGCTACAGGGACCAGCTTTGACAGCAGCAGCTGAGTAAGCATCAATACCACTATCTGCCCATTCTGACCGATGTTCTCGCAAGAATCTAAGTAGAATTGCTGGAGGTACATTCTAGAAGTGAAAGTGGAAAAGATGTTTTATAGGATTAGACAATTAGTTGGAGATGCGACAAGCTAGAACACATACTACTTCAATGCACGTTGGAATTCTGCATGAGTGCGGGTATATTGCCATAACTAGACATAATTGCTATAAATTTAGAAATCTCACCTGTAACAACATGGACGCTTTTGCACATAGAATTGCACTGCCCATAGAAGGAAATCCACTAGCATACGAAGGATTTACACCCATCATTCTTCCAATAGATGAGTTTACAAGAAGCGTAACATCATCAACACCATCGCTTTCCAACATAGACCATCCTTCATCAGTAAATCCATTAATAGCCTCATTAAAGCCCCTGTATTTAAATATGTCAGATTTCCATTTGTTAACAATTAACCTACTAACTAAAGAAAACTATTAAGACTTGAATTAGCATACTTGCTTAATCTCTGACTGAGTGCACGTAGAGCTGCAGGTCTTCTTCCCCAACCTGTGACGTTTGGCTGGGATACTTCTTGAGAAATTTGCCTCAAATGACGCAGAGCCTGCCAGACATGCCAAGGTTTTATAGGAGCATGAGATATTTATGTCCTAGTTCAATAAAATCATCAACATGCATTATTGTTTGCCATGACATAGTGATTTTACCGCCATTGTTGTTTTCTGAGCAAGTAATGTTGATGACTCATAAAGTGGACGCAACACTTCAGGAACACCCAAAGGCTACATAACATCAATATGAATGTTAGAGTTGCACACAATTGAGGAATAAATTATATTCTTAACAAGTAAACCGAGGTGATTTACGTACCTCTAAATCCATGTGATCAACTATGTGAATGATCGATCCACCCCCTTCACAAGGTCTAATCAGATAACCACTAGGCAGCATTTCTGCTCTCACAAAATTTGGCGCAGGTGGCATACTTGGACCATTCTGAGTGTTGTTGAGTGATCTTTCACAGACCTTGTAAGAAGAACAGCAACGGGAATAAGAGCAAGACTGAGGAAAGGGAATTGCGAAAGCTCCATACTTATAGTTAGACATGGCATAAAATGGTATAGGAGTCACATACCACCAGACTACCATCCTCCAAAACAGACGTATACCGCAGCAACCAGAAGTCACGAGCTGATGCTAAGGTTGTTGGCGCATAGAGCTGAAAGAAAGAAGAAATTTTTAAAATTTTCAATCAAAGTGAATCTTTGATTTTGAAACTGCAGTACTGAATGCAAAAACTTCCAACCCTACCTGCATGTAAAGCAGTTCAATGGTTCCACCATTTCCAGTGGATATTGCGTTTACAACATCCACGGCTCGGCAATCACGAAACCACGAAGGCCGATCTTTGAGGATATCAGCGACCTTTAGAGAACAAGATCATTTAATTCCTACTCAAACCTGAACCAAGGAAAGTTCCTTCAACACAAATGAAAGAAAGGAACCTACCCTTGTAGGATCAAGACCCACAAGTCCACATGCACGAGCTGCCACTCCAGTGCAACCATGAGAAATAGCAACGATTCCAATGGAATCCGGACCAGGCTGCACCCATAAAAAAATGTCTTAAGTTGCACAAGATTACTTGAGCTCCTTCATCTTTATTTTAAGTATAAGGAAAGTATACGACTTGATGTATAAAATTTTGCACATTTACTCAAAACCCATAAACAAAATAATTATTTTAATTTTTGACACTGTTGCCTCGTTTAGAAGATGGAATAGAAAAATAAACAGAAGCACAGAAAATAACAATGGGGGGAAATGAAAAAGATTAGCATAGTACATAACACTGTGATGATGCTGTTTGCATGTTGCTTAGAAGATTAGCAAGATATCTGTACTTTATCAAGATTTTTCTTGATAATGACAAAAGTTACGGGGGCGTGATTTAACAGAGAATAATTGTTGTTCCAACAGAAAAATAAAAAAACATTTTGTAGTTATTATATTATATTATATAATTTAAATCATTAAATAAAAATAAATTCGTTATTTATAAAGTCATTGTACATAGTTATTTTTATATTTTATTACAATAGAGTTCAAGTTACAAAATAATAACTCATAAAAAGAAATAGAATAATGAAAGTAAAAGACAAGCAGTAACCTTCATCCCAGGCATTTGGACCCACTCCACAGCAGTTCCAGTGGCCTTTGACAGAAACTCTGCTAAAGTTTCCTCTGCAATGGACAGAAGTCTAGAATACAAACAATTACAGATGCATCAGCCACAGAGAAACAGAAAATGACTTAACAACAACAACCAAATTGCGAATTTTACACTAACCCAGCAGGGCTGGCATCCTTGGGCGGATGCTGAGGAGTCAGATGGTGCTGACCGCTCGTCACCACCGATTCACAGCTCGTATCTGTGGTGGCAAGGGTCGTCTGCAAAACCACAGCAAGAAAATTAACTCAAAACCCATTAAGCTTTCAAGCAAAAGTGAAAACCTTTAGTGTATATTTGCCGGCAATTTGGATTATAATAATTTTCTGAGGAACCAAACACTACAACTGGGAAAATCCAGTTCTTACATTCTGTGTTTGTTGGCGGAAGAAACTGTTCTCGTAGACCAGCTGCGAGACCTGCTTTTGCAGTCTATCGTTCTCTTCCATTAATAGCTTATTCATTGCCGTCAACTTCCTATTCACAGCTTGAAGGCGTGATGCCTCTTTCCTCTGTTTTTCTCTGCATCTATAACAAAGAGACAAATCCAACAAAAAATTGAATTAGCAAACAAAAGGGTACTGTTTGGTTGATGAGAAAATACAATTCTAGAGAAAAGTAATGGAATTATTTCTAATTTTGGAACAAATTAAGATAGCGACACACAAGCTACAAAAAGGTGATGCTTTGAATTTATGTATATTACCTGCGATTTTGGAACCAAACTTTGATCTGCTTCGGCTCGATGTTGGAGAGAATGGGACACTCTCTTATGAGCTGCTGACGGCGCATGGAGCTGGGCTTGGGACAGTCATGGTAAAGCCTCTCCAGAGCTTCCACCTGCTCCGGCGTATACCTCACATATTTCCCATTGTCCATTATCGCCTTGCTCCCGTCCTTGCAGGCCGACGTCACCGCCATCATCCTTCTGCTCCATCAAAAAATAAAAAATAAATAAAAATAAAAACCAGGATCATCATAACACTCATATACACACCCAATTAATCCTTGAAATAAAAATAACAAAGAATACCGTTCTTCTTGAGAACCCCTCCAAGAAAATTGGATCACCAGCAATATCTTCAAAAACCCATTTAAATTGTGTAACTACTTGTTTTTTCACCTTAAAAATGGCGTAACCTTTGGGGCATGCTAATGGGGGAATGGGAGTGGGAGAGAGTAGGCAAGGCAAGGCAAGGCAAGAAAGCAGAGAATGATGGAAAAAGAAAATGGAGATGGGTTTTTTTTTAAGGAAGGAAGATGATGATGATGTGATATTGGGATTGATTAAGGGGAATGAGGGAATGTTGGTAAGGGAAAAAGATAAAAGCGAAGGTGGGAAGAGAACCCTTAATACCAGACAGATTGTGAGAGGATGATGAGACCTTTTACTTTTTCTTTTGTTTTCGCATAATTTTTTATTTTTTTCCTTTCTTCTTTCCCTGTTGCTTTTGCTGCTTTTAACCCCCTTCACCACTTTCAAACCTCTTTCTTTTCTGTCGTCGGGAATAACAGTATTAAGGGGTTAAAGGGGATGGAAGGAATGGGATGTTGGCAACCGTACTCTCGCTTCTCAGCGCGTGTGTTGCACTGCCTGGTTCGGGATTGTTGGACGGAATTACCCCCTTTTTTTTTTTTTGTCGTATGGTAGTTTTATTTATTAATTTTTGCCGTTTGGACGGAATTGCCCTCTTTTCTGTCGTTTTCTAAAAGAGAAAAATCTGGAGTATGTTTTGGAGATCATCACCTTCCTTTCCCTTTTCGTCGTTATAATCATTATCCTTATATTTTATAGATTAAATTGCAAAAAGAAAATTTTTAAATAACGAAAAGGCACTTAACATTAGCAGTGAATCCTTTCTCTTTCATAAGAATTAATGTTTTATAATTTGGAATAGAATGAATTATAAAACTATTATTATTATTATGAAAAAAATTTTAAAGAATGAATTAGATACTAAAAATATAATTTATTTTATAAATTTATTAAAATATTTTTAGTAAAATTATTGTTTATATTATTTTATTATGGTATTTAAGTAAATTTATAAAGTAAATTACATTTTTAATATATAGTTTAAACTGTAACATATGAATTTGTTGTTATTATTATTATTATTGTTATTATTATGTTGAAAAAATATGTAATTAAATATGTCAACTTTATAATTTTTTATTTAAAAATATTAACTTTGACTATTTCTAAATAAGGATATGAATTTTCAACTTATTTTATTTAAAAATGTTAACTTTTAATATTTCAATTAAAAAATATGTTTATTATATCAATATCACTATTAAGTTAATTCTTAAATAGAAAAGTTAAAAATTAACACATTATTTAAAAATTTATCAAATTAACATCATTATATAAAAAAAATTACAAAATTAATATCTTTATTTACACTTCTTCTCTTATTTTGCCCAACCCTCTCTTCATTAAGTTTAGTTTACTATGATTGTGCTTTTGATTTTTAAAATTCAGACAATTAAAATTAACAAAAAAAATTAAAAATTAAAATTACCAACTTATTGAGTATAAAATTAAAAAAAAAAAAACTCAAAACTTATTTAATTTTATTCTAAGATTTCTAAATTTTAAAAATCAAAACAAAAAATTTAAAATCAAAACCATATTAAACAAAGTTTTAATTTCTTAATTATTTGGAGACAATCACAATACCTATTTTCAAAAAATATGTACTATATATTTCAAGACAATCAAATT